TTTTTTTCAACCTGGGGCGTCATCCGCTCAGAGGACAGCTCACGTCCACTGCACGACTTGGGGGCCCCCTGCTGGGGTGGCGCGCGAATGTCCGTTTCGGTGGGAGTGCGTGCGGGGAGGGGCCGGGCAGGCGGAAGGGAGGGGGTGCTGTACCCGTGCTGAGCCAGCTTTTCCGAATTTTCGGCAGCGTCGAGCTTCATTCCGCCTGGTCCAACCGACCAGGGGGCTGGGTTGACATATTAGAAGTGCCGTTGTGTCAGCATGTGCGCTCTCCCATCGCTCACTTGCCTTTGCAGCTGCTGCCTTGACGTGCTTCCAGAGTGGTCTTGGAGTCAGTGCCGTTGCCGACGAGCCAGCATCATGACCGAACGCCAATGACGAGTCCCATTCCTATTGGTTCAACCGAGCATAGGGTGAGGATGACAAGTTTCAGCCTTGGCCGAGGCGTCAATGTGTGGACACATGCCCTCACATCTGACTGCCCCCTCCCCAGTGCCCCACCTGTGCTTGCTTCTGCATCTGCTGCCTGGACCTCCTTGCAGACCGCTCGTGGAATCATGGCCTTCATCGGGCGTGCTTCGTGCTGGTATCATTCGTTCTCGTCGGCGCAACCGAGCCGAGGGTGAGGATGAAGTTTTGGAGCCGTGGCCGAGGTCCTGTTCTGTGTGTGCTGGCCATCGCCACGTTTTCGGGACGCCTGGATCGTGGTCAAATGGGTGCTGGCCAGGCGGGCCTTGTTCTGGATCCATCTCGTTCCCGAAGCCCTCCTCCTCCATCTCCGCTCCAGTGCCAACCTGGGAGGCCGCTCTGGGGCGCGCCTGGAATGCGGACGCGCCGTTTTAACGGCCGGCAGCTTCTTCCATGAGGCGTCGGCTATCCAACCGCGCTATAGCCAGGCCAATGTCTGGCATGAAGCGCCCCTGTGTTGCTTTTTTTCAACCTGGGGCGTCATCCGCTCAGAGAACAGACAGCTCGCGTCCACTGCACGACTTGGGCGCCCCCTGCTGGGGTGGCGTTCGAATGACCGTTTCGGTGGGAGTGCGGGCGGGGAGGGGCCAGGCATACAGGAGGGAGGGGGTGCTGTACCCGTGCTGAGCCAGCTTTTCCGAATTTTCGGCAGCGTCGAGCTTCATTCCGCCTTGTCCAACCGAGCAGGGGGTGTGGCTGACGATTTCTGAAGCGCCGCTGTGTCAGCATGTGCGCTCCCCCATTGCGCCAGTGCCAGCGCCTTCATGACAGCATCTCCCCATTTCGGCACAGCCTTCACACGCTTCTTGGCTCCATATGGACTTCCCCTTCCTTCTTTCCTGCCTGCCTTTCGGTATTCGCGCCTGCATATGGTCGGGTCCGTCGCCAGGATAAGTTTTGATCCATCATCTCTTTCCGAAGGTCTCCTCCTCCATACCCGCTCCAGTGCCAACCTGGAAGGCTTCAGGGTACACATGGATTGCGGACGCGCCGTTTTAAAGGCCGGCAGCTTCTTCCATAGGCGTCGGCTATCCAACCGCGCCACAACCAGGCCAATGTCTGGCACGAAGCGTCCCGTGCTGTTTTTTTTCAACCTGGGGCGTCATCCGCTCAGAGGACAGCTCACGTCCACTGCACGACTTGGGCGCCCCCTGCTGGGGTGGCGTGCGAATGTCCGTTTCGGAGGGCCGGGGAGACAGCAGGGAGGAGGAGCCATGTGCCCGCGCCGAGCCGGCGTCTCCGAAGACGCGGCACCGTCAATTTTCCTTCTGCCTGGTCCGACGAGATCAGATTAGAAGTGCCGCTCTGTCAGCATGTGTGCTATCCCATTGCCCGCCTGCCTTTGCAGCTGCTGCCTTGATGCGCTTCCAGGGTGGTCTCGGAGTCATTGCCGTTGTCGACGAGCCGGCATTACGACCGCACGCCAGTGACGAGTCCCATTCCTATTGGTTCAACCGAGCGTAGGGTGAGGAGGACAAGTTTCAGCCTTGGCCGAGGCGTCAATGTGTGGACACACGCCCTCTCCTCTGCTTGCCCCCTCCCCAGTGCCCCGTACTTCTGCATTTGCTGCCTGGGCTTCCTTGCAGACCACTCGTGGAACCATGGCCTTGGGTGTGCGTTCGAGACGCTTAGTTCGTGCTCAAGCGGGTGCTTGCTAGGCGGGTTTGAGGTGCGTCTTGTTCTGGATCCATCCTCTCGTTCCGCAGCCCTCCTCCATCTCTCCTCCAGTGCCAACCTGGGAGGCCCTGTGGTGCGCCTGGATTGCGGACGCGCCGTTTTAACGGCCGGCAGCTTCTTCCATGAGGCGTCGGCTATCCAACCGCGCCACAACCAGGCCCGTGTTGCTTTTCAGCCTGGGGCGTCATCCGCTCAGAGGACAGCTCACGTCCACTGCACGACTTGGGAGCTCCCTGCTGGGGTGGCGTGCGAATGTCCGTCTCGGAGGGAGAGCGGGCGGGAAGGGGCTGGGCAGACGGCAGGGAGGCGCGGCTCCGCAGGCGCGGCAGCTTGGCATGCCTGGATGGTTGAGCTTCGAGGCCGCGATGGCCCAAGCCCGGCCCCGGCTCGTGCGGCTCCCTGCCCGCGCGCCCTGAATGGCCCCGCTGCTTGCGCGGCATGCCTTCGGGCTCGCAGGACCGCTGGAGGCCCAGGCTGATGGGCATCTTTTCCCCCACCACCACCATACGCAGGACGGGGGCGAAGGGGGGAGGAGGAGCTCCTCCTCCTCCTCCTCCTCCTCCTCCTCCTCCTCCTCCTCCTCGATCCTCCTCCTCGATCCTCCTCCTCCTCCTCCTCCTCCTCCTCCTCCTCCTCCTCGTCCTCCTCCTCCCCCTCCTGCTCCTTCTCCTCGATCCTCCTCATCCTTCTCCTCCTCCTGCCTGTGGCAGTGGTGGTGGAAAATGGGCCCATCCCAGGCGGTAGCGCACGGGCGCCCCCGGGCTGCCCGCGGCGGCGGCGCGGCGCCCGTGGCCTGGGCCGCCGCTGCGGTGCCGGGAGCCGGCCGCGGCGCCGCGCCAGCGAGGGGCCCAGCCGGCGGTCGCCCGAGGCCAGGCTCCGAGGCCCAGCCGACCTCCTCCTCCCTCCTCCCTCCTCCTCCTCCTCCTCTCCTCCTCCTCCTTTTCCTCTTCCTCCTCCTCCTCCTCCTGCTCCTGCTCCTCCTCCTCCTGCTCCTCCTCCTCCTCCTCCTCCTCCTCTATCCTCCTCCTTCTCCTCGATCCTCGATCCTCCCCTCCTCCTCCTCCTCCTCCTCCTCCTCCTCCTCCTCCTCCTCCTCGATCCTCCTCCTCGATCCCTATGGAAGGGGTTCGGCCTGGGGGGTACCCTAGAAGAGGCGCGCGTCCTTACTATGCGCGTTGGCTGGAAGTCATTCTTTCGCTCCAGAGTGTAAGGTCCGTGCCGACCACCCCCCCAGGCCGAACCCCCTACATGGGGGGAACGACGAATGACAGAAAGATAACAACTCGGAGGTCCGGCGGATTTCTCGGATCGGCGCTTCGCGCGCCAGGGAGGGGGGTACAGCGCCGATCCGAGGAATCCGCGCGGACCTCCAAGTTCTTATATTTCTGTCATTCTTTGTTCCCCCGTGTAGGGGGTTCGGCCTGGGTGGGTCGTCGGCACGGACCTTGCATTCTGGGGGGAAAGAAGGACATACGGCCAGGCCGAGGTATCAGATCGCGGTCGGTTCGGAGAGGGTACCCGAATGTACTTCGTATTTGTTGTATGCTCTGGTGCGTTCTGGGGAAAGATACCCTGAAGGACGGTTTGTTTTGTCCTGGCGGAGGGTCTCGTGCTCTTAAAGAATGTTCTTCTCTCCCTGCTCCGAGTGTACACGCACACGAATCCACGTTGATTTCGAGAGCACGCATTGCGCTGCCGTTCGTATCACGCGGGTGGTCTCGCGGATTGGGGGGCCGTTTCCATGCACGTGGTTGGGCGCGTGCGTCCTCTGTGGGCTGCCTAACTACATGTTGCCCCGGGAAAGGCGCCGACACCGCGGGCGCCCAGGAGGCCAGGATCTGCCGATCTTGGGGTCGCAGGATCGCGCCGCGTCGCCGATGCGTCGGCGATGCGGCTCGACGTGGAGCCCGATGACGCCGGCGTCGCCGGTGCGTCGCCGCAGTTGGCGGTGCGTCGCCGACGTTGCGGCGGTGCATCGTCGATGCGTCCTCGGCCCCACCACATCTCCTTCCTCCCTTCTCCTCGCTCCTACCGCTTCCCGAGGAGGAGGAGGAGGAGGAGGAGGAGGAGGAGGAGGAGGAGGAGGAGGAGGAGGAGGAGGAGGAGGAGGGAGGAGGAGGAGAGAGGAGGGAGGGAGAGAGGTAGGAAGGGAGGAGCAGGAGGAGGAGGGGGAGGAGGAGGGAGGAGGGGAGGGAGGAGTGAGGCGAGGGAGGCCTCTGGCCGCGCCGGCGGCTGCCGGCGCCTCTTCCCGCGGCCACCATCCTCCTCCTCTTCCTCCTCCTTCTTCCCCCCCTCCAGCTCCTTCTCCTCCTTCTCTTCTTCCCTCCTCCTCCCCCCCCACCCTCCCCCCTCCCTCCTCCTTCTTCCCCCCTCCTCCTCCTCCTTTTCCTCCACCTCCTTCCCCCCTCCAGCTTATGGTGGTGGTGTTGGAAGACAAGCCCATCGTTTTCTGTGCCTCCAGCGCCCTCTCCCCGAGCCGTGGTGCCCTCCCGGCCCATCCCCGGGGTGGCGCGCCCCCGGGCGTGCCGTCGGCCGGCAGGCGAGCTTCTTCGGAGGAGCGGGCGGTGCAGCAATCGCCCACCCGTTCCTCGCCGAGCGCGTGCACTCAAGTCGGGCGAGGGAGGGGATCGGCCGAGGGGGGGCGCGCATCGACCCCCAAATCGCCCACTGATCGTCACCAGCGGGCCCGACAGCTCACCCCGCTCGGGAGCGTGGGGCCCTCCTAGGGGGCCCCGTCGCCGATCTGTCGGCGACGTGTCGCCGACTCCAGGCTGATGTCTTCCTCGCAGAGTGCCTACTCTCAAGTCGGGCGTGTCCCTCTACAGGAGGAATGCTCACAAGTAGTCAAAAAGCGACAGGGGATGATTTTTGTGGACCATTTTGTCAATGTTTTTTTTTTCTCCTATTTCTATTTTTTTGTCCAAAGTTCGCCTGTAGGAGGACATGCCCGACCTAAACCTACTCGCAAACGTCAGACACAAAAAACACATGCCTGCTTTGACTTAATTTGTCGTAGATCCCCCGCGCGAGTAGTGGAGCGCGCTCGTCTAGTTCCATAAACGATCATCGAAGGGCGAAGAGCGGTATGACCATGATTTCTCGGATGGCCGCGCTGACCTCTGGAAGTAGTTATGTTTATGCAGTTTGTGTTGTAGATGAGGCGCGCCAGGCGTGATTGAGGGAATGCTCTTCTAGTTTTTGATTGCGGTCACGCCCGGGTTCCGGGACCATCTGCATAATGCAGCACAAACGCGTTCGGTAGAAATCTTCGGAGTTTTGTATGTCATGGAAGTTCCGTCTTCAGAGCTGAGAATGCGCATTAGCGTGCGCGAGAGTCTGGTAGTCGATGAGAAATCGCCGATTTAGCGTCGATCAGCGCCGACTGGCGTCGTTCAGCGTCGATTCGCAAGAGCCAGCAAGATGGCATGGGATGCTCCCATGAGCTGCCCTACAGAAGACGCGCGCCGTGTTTGGCGTGCCCTCCACGGAGCAGCATGCACACAACACCGCAGCGTCCTTTTCTCGCTGCGTTTCCTGCTGCCCGAAGGATTCGAGGCGGGAATTTATACATGACCACCGCCTGGAGGTTCAATTTTCGGAGACCTCGGCAGGCGGTGGATATGGATATATTCGGGCCCCCGGGGGCCAAACTATATGCATATCTACCGCCCGCTGGGGCACCAGGACTCAGGCGATCGCAAACAAGGACTAAGGGGGCGTGGATTAGCGACGGGTCCCGTTTCCATGAGAGATCGCGGACTTCCGCCGCCGAGCGAGGCGGCAGAGGCCGCATCTTGGGGAGGGCACCTCTCCCGACCCGTGGATTTGGCGACCGCGCGCCGGGTCCATGGATCGCCCATCCATGCTGGCGCGCCCCCGAGAGGAGGAGGACCAGGAGGAGGAGGAGGAGGAGGAGGAGGAGGAGGAGGAGGAGGAGGAGGAGGAGGAGGAGGAGGGGAGGAGGGGAGCAGGAGGAGGAGGAGGAGGAGGAGGAGGAGGAGGAGGAGAGGAGGAGCGAGGAGGAGGAGGAGGAGGAGGAGGTGGAGGAGGAGGAGGAGGAGGACGTCGGTTCCCGGGCGGTGGATGTGGACGGATCCCCGCCTCGCCGCAGGAGGCCCTGGGCACGGCGGGCAGGCGGGCCGCCCCGCAGCCGGGCACGGCGGGCCGCTCACCCCGGAGGAGGAGCACCGGCAGGCCGTCGCCAAGCGGGAGGCGGAGAAGGCGTCGGCTGGCTGGGAGCCCAGGGGTGGAGGGCTTCTCCGGAGGGCTTGGGCGACCCGTCCTCCTCGTCCTCCTCGTCCTCCTCGTCCTCCTCGTCCTCCTCCTCCTCGTCCTCCTCCTCCTTGTCCCTCCTCCTTGTCCCTCCTCCTCCTCCTCCTCCTCCTCCTCCTCCTCCTCCTCCATCTCCTCCCCCTCCCCCTCCTCCACCTCCCCCTCCTCCTCCTCGGGTCGCCTACGGCCCCGGGGGAAACCGTGCACCCAGGGGTGGATCCAAAAACGGTGTTTTGGCGACTTCGTGGGGCCGTCTTCGTTTCCATGCCGTTCTGCAGCAGAGCCAGATGGATGGAAGACGACACCGGGGAGAACGAGAACAGGAGGGAGACGAAAGGCACTTCCCTAAGGGCTTGTCGACTTTTCGCCAATCGACTTGTGAGAATCGAGCCAGATAAACCCAGGTAAATGCAGATAAATCGAGGTAAATCCAGGTAAATCTAGATAAATCAGGGTAAATCCAGGTAAATCCAGAGATCTCCAGGGAAAGTTCGAGCACTTCGCGGCCGCTCCAGCGCGAGTCGAAGGACGGCAGAAGTCGTTAAGCCTTTAACGAGCACTGCTCAGGTTCATCCCCGTGGGAGCCTCAGGGCAGGGGGCAGACGCAGGGAGCCCGTCGGCGGCCAAGCGAGGGGGGGAAAATACGCTCGCAGAGAGCCCCGAGGCGGGAACTCCTACGTGACCACCGCCCAGAGGGTCAGTGTTCGGAGCCTCGGCAGGCGGTGGACATGGACATATATGCGGCCCCCCCGGGGGCAATACATATATATATATATATATGTATACATGTGTGTATATATATATATATTTATATTTATATTTATATATATGTATATGTATATGTATATATATATATTTATATATATGTATATCTATGTATATATATGTATACATGTGTATATATACATATATATATATACATATCCACACCCACCGCCCGCTGGGGCACCAGGGCGTCGGTTCCCGGGTCCGTAGCCATTTTGGTTCAAGGCTCAGCAGTTGAGATTCTCGGGAGGCGTGACGTGCACCAACACCTGATGCGGAGATCCGTTGATGCAGAAAAGCTTGAAGGGGTCTCGGCAGGGTGCCTCCGTCAAAGGTGCGATCGACAAGTGTGGGGCCGCAAAGCAATGGATTGCAGCGCTGCGACTGCTGCGCGAGGCGTCCCAACCACATGCGGATTGCAGCCTCAGTCTGTATTGTGTGACCGTAGGCATATGCGGAAAAAGCAAACAGTGGCGACATGCGCTGTCGCTTTTCAGGGAGCTGGCTGGCATGATGCTGGAGCCAGACGTCATCTGCTACAGCAGCGGTATCAGCGCGTGCGGAAATGCCAATCAGTGGCAGCAGGCGCTGTGGCTGCTCAGGGAGATGTGGTCGCTGGATCTAATGCCAGACCACATTAGCTACACCGCTGGGATCAGCGCGTGCAGCACAGGTGTAGAGTGGCAGCGGGCACTGTTCTTGATCAGCGAGATGCGGGAGGTGAGATTGGAGCCGAACGGCTTTAGTTACAGCTGCGGGATTAGCGCCTGCGGGAAATGCGGGCAGTGGCAGCCTGCGCTGTCGTTGCTCAGGGAAGCGTGGGAGGCGAGGTTGGAGCCAAATGTGATCAGCTGCAATGCTGCGATCAGCGCGTGCGAGAAAGGCAGGCAGTGGGAGCAGGCGCTGTCGCTGCTTGGCGAGATGCGGGAGGGGGCACTGGAACTCAACGTTAGGAGCTACAATGCTGGGATCAGCGCGTGCGAAACATGTGCGCAGTGGCAGCAAGCATTATCGTTGCTCGGCGAGATACGGGATGTGAAGTTGGATTTGGACGTTTTCAGCTACAGCGGCGGAATCAGCGCGTGCGGGAAAGGCGGGCAATGGCAGCAGGCGTTGTCGCTGTTCAACGAGATGTGGCAAGCGAAGTTGGAGTTGGATGTCGTTTGCTGCAGTGGGGGCGTCAGCGCGTGCGAGAAAGGCGGGCAGTGGCAGCAGGCGCTGTCGCTGCTAAGTGGGATGTGGGACGCGACGATGAAACCAGACGCCTTCATCTACGGTGCTGGGATCAGCGCGTGCGAGAAAGGCGGGCAGTGGGAGCAAGCGATGTCGCTGCTCAGCGAGATGCGAAACGTGAAATTGCAGCTTGACATTGTATGCTCCAGTGGCGCGATCAGCGCCTGCGAAAAATGCGGGCAGTGGCAGCAGGCACTGTCATTGCTCGGCAAGATGCGGGAGGCGAAGTTGAAGCCAGACGTCACCAGCTACAGCGCTGCGATCAGCGCATGTGAGAAAGGTGGACCGTGGCAGCACGCGCTGTCGCTGCTTAGCGAGATGCGGGAGGTTGAATTGAGACCAAACGTCATCAGTTACACTGGTGTGATCCGCGTGTTCGGAGTAGGCGGGCAGTGGCAGCAGGCGTTGTCGATATTGGGCGACATGTTAGCGGCAACGCTAAAATTTGACGTCCTCTGCTGCAATGAAGGAATCAACGCGTGTCAGAAAGGCGGGCAGTGGCAGCAAGCGTTGGCGGTGATCGGGCAGATGCAGGAGGCGAGCGTGGAGCCAGACATCATCTCTTCTACATGGCCGGTGGAAGCGCGTGCGAGAAGCCCAGGGCCTCAAGTGCACAACATCGTCCCTTTCCGGCGCCAACACGGGGCCGAATCGCTCAGGTCAGTCCCAGAGGCGCTCCAGAGGGGTTCCCAGACCGTCCAAGAGCGCTCCAAGTCGACCTCAGTGGGTCCCGAGACGGCCCACGAGGGCCCGAAGCCTTCCCGGGGTGGCTCCACGACGATCCATGAGGCCGCAAAGACGCCCCAAGAGGGCCCCGAGCGCACGCCAAAGAGTCACAAATCGTCAAATTCCGATAGGAAAACGTATATTTTCAGCATGCCCGCCTTATGTGCTCCTCAGTGGCCCGGGACACGCCAAGAGGCCTCCCAAATCGCTCCAAGAAGACGCCAGCAGCCCCTAAGAGGGCTCCAAGACGGCCCACAAGAGCCCCAAGACGACGCCAGAGAGCCCTGAAACGGCCTCACAGAACCCCAAGACGGCCCCAAGAGAACTCCTAGGGGGCCCCGAGTGGCTCCCAAGACGGCCTCAGGCAGCCTCAAGAGAGCTCCAAGACGGTCCAAGGCCTACCGGACGCCCCGTGACGGCCCAAAACGGCACCAAGACGTCCCAAAACGCTCCCAGAGCAGCCCAAACAAGCTTCTGAATGGCCCGAGAAAGACCCCCACAAGGACCACCAAGCAGGTCCAGAGACGCCCATTAAAAGAGCGATCGGTGAAGTACAAAGCTCTTCTCACCAAGTCTCCCAAGAGCGGGCCGCAGGCCCTGGTGCGCTTCGAAGATGGCCAACGAGCGCTCCGAGATGCCCCCGGAGGCCCCCAAGAGGGCCCCAAGGGGGTCCAAGACCGTCCAAGAGAGACTCCAAGGCGCCCAAGATTCCTTCTACACGGCTTCAGACGCCTCCGGAACGTCCCGACGGGGCTCCGAGAAGGGCCCCGAGAGGGCCCAAACAAGAACAAATCGTCACAATCCCCAGGGAAAACTTGCATTTTTGTAATTCCCGTGCTTTTCGTCTCCGACGCTTCCACGACGGCCATACAGGCTCCCAAGAGTGTTTAAGATCCCCAGGCCAGCCGCATGAGGGCCCCAAGACAGCCCAACACAGCATCCAGACGGGTCCTGAGGCGCTCATGACAGCCCACGAGCCATCCAAGACAGCCTCAAGAGCTGCCCAAGATGCTCCAAGACGGCGCCAAGACGATCTTAGCCGAAAAGCTCCAAACTCCATGGACTGCCGACAACCTCGAGAGCGTCCAGGAGGCCGAAAGAAGCTCCGAGAAGCTCCCAAACTATCCCTAGGAGAAGACAGCGCCCGCCTTCTGGTTTCTACAAGACAAACAACACAGTTTCCGGATCCGGACACGCTTCGTGGCCGCATCCGGACCGCTGCCCTTCTCCGTGGGTGCGGGCGCCCGCCGTCACGCTTCACCCAGGCAACTGGGAAGACCTCACCACAGCTTTCCGGGCGTACCCCGCCCACGGATCTTCGCCGTACTTAGAGCGCTGCTCTTCTCCGTGGGTGCGGGCGCGAGAGCGCGAAGGTATGCGCGTATGGCACGGAGCTGCGCTGTGGAGGCGCACCAGGGGGACCTGAAGGTCGTGGGCGAAGTCCACGGGTTCGCCCTAGTCAGCTACAACGCTGGGATCAGCGCGTGCGAGAAAGGCATGCAGTGGCAGCGGGCTCTGGTGTTGCTGAGCGAGATGCTGGAGGCGAAGCTGGTGCCCGACGTCATCAGCTGCCACACTGCGACCAGGGCTTGCGACAGAAGCGGGCAGGTGCAGCAAGCGATCTGGCTTCTCACCGCGACGCGGAATGCGAAGCTCGAGTCCCACGTCGCCAGCCTCAGCGATGCCATGGTGATTGCGATGCAGAGGTCAGCGTTGCGCAGTTCCAGCCGCAATCCCGAGACCCGCGCGCGCGAGAGACGCGGGTAGCCACGGCAGGCCATGCCGCTGGTCGAGGACGAGCCGACGACGGAGACCACAGCCACCCTTGCTGCACGCGATACAGTAGGGGTCTTGAAGAAAGAACCCTTTTCGTTGGGGAGGGGCTCGGTGTTCCTGGGTTGTTCGACAGTTTGCCTTCTGTTTTCTTGAGGTTTTCCATGGGAAATCGAAGTTCAACTTATGGGAGAAGGGGGCCCCGTTCCTTAGTTAGATTTCCTTGGGTCAACGCCCCGACTGTACTGGGCAGCGCGCGTGCCGCCGGGGCCCGCTGGCTGCAGACGGCCTGGCCCTGGGCGGCAGAGCTGCGCCCCGGGGGGCGCCTCGGCCGCGGGCGTCCAGGTCTCAGGAGGGAAAGAAACACACAGACACAATTAATCGCCGATTCCCCAGAAAATATGGGAACATATGGGAAGTGGGGGGGAAGACAAACAACCAGAAAATAGGGGAAAATAGGGGGAAACCTTTGAACTGTGTGTATTTATTTGTGTGTCTCAGGGCCCCTTCAAGGTCTCCTCCGCGGGAGAGCCCCGGACCGTCCTCGGCGGCCCCGCGCTCTGCCCGAAGCCCCCCCCCCGCACGTGCCCCGCGCTCGGCAGGAGGGGAAAAACCACACAGACACAATGAATCGTCGATCCCCCAGAAAATATGGGAGAGTATGGGAGTTGGGCGGGAAGACAAAAACCCAGAAAATGTGGGAAAGTATGGGGAATTGTTTTATTGTGGGTATTTATTTGTGTGTCCTGGGGCCCCTTCAGCTCGGCCACGAGGGCCCGCCCTGCCCGCGGGACGGCGCCGGGCGAGGGCGAGGACGAGGGCGAGGCCGAGGCGCGGGGCGGGCGGGCGCGCGTCACGCGGGCGTCTTGCCCCTCGGCCCGGGCGAGGCCTCCAGGGGCGCCCTGGGCCCGCTGCTGGTGCCAGCCCCCTCCTCGTCTGCGGCACGCCCTGCGCTGGACGTGCGGGCCATCTCGCCGCCCGGGGAGCGGGGCCAGCCTCGCGGGCGCGGTGCTGGAGCGTCCTTCAACGAGGAAGAGGACGGCGGCTCCCGGGCGGTGGACGTGGACAAGCCCCCGCCTCGCGCGATAGGGGCCTGTCAGCCCCGCACCGCCCAGGAGGAGGAGGAGGAGGAGGAGGAGGAGGAGGAGGAGGAGGAGGAGGAGGAGGAGGAGGAGGAGGAGGAGGAGGAGGAGGAGGAGGAGGAGGAGGAGGAGGAGGAGGAGGAGGACCAGGGCGAAAGGGGGGCAGATGGCAAGAGTGTGGAACAGGCACCGGGCGAGGGGTCCAGGTGATCGTTTTTTGTTCCTTGTTCTGCCGATCGGCGAGGGGCCTCGGGCCCCCCCTCCTCCCCTTCCCTCCCTGGAGTGTGGCTCTTGGCTGTTCTTTGGCGCCTGCTTCGAGCAGGTGGGGTCCCTCCCCCATGGGACGCACTGTCGCAAGCAGTCGCACTAAGCAGAGGTCCGGAGTCAGACCCCCCCCCCCCCCGCCCAGTGTCGAAACGCCCCGAATGAGAAAACGCTCACCAGCGGGTCCAGGGGTCGAGGCTTCCGTTTCTCTGTGCAGCGAGAGCTGCCAGGACCCTCGTGGTGACAGTAGGTACGGGCCCGTCGTCGTTTCCTGATTCGTCGCCCTCCGCCTCTGACTCGTCACCCCCTCAGCGCCGTCCCCTGGCCGCTTCCTCGGCGCGCTGCCCGGCTCGGTGGCCTGGTGGCTCCCTGGCTCGTCGCCCCGTTCTCTGCCTCGCCCCCTGGCTTGCTGGTGCGTCCCCTGGTTCCTCGCTGGGGGTCGTCCCCGCTCTCGTCTCTGGGCTCGTCTCGCCCGTCTCCCGGCTGGTCCACTTGTCTGGCAGCCGTGCCCGTCGTAGCAAGGTCGTCGCCCTCCCCGTGTTCCCCCGCTCCGTCGCCCCTTTCCCTGGGACTCTCCTGGTTCCCGTGGTCTGACCCGACTCGTCGGCCTGATCGTTGGGTCATTCCTGGTCTCGGTGCCCCGATCACCAGTTCGTTTCTGTGCTCGGCGGCAGGGTCGTTCTGTGTCTGGTCGCCCTGGGCCCTGGCTCGTTCCTTGGCTTGGCTTCTGGGTCCCTGCCTGCCCGATGTGATGTGGACTACGCTTCGCGAGCCTGCTCCGGGTGTTGCTAGAATTACCCCTGGCCCAAGGTCCCCCCAGGATTCTCTGGGTGGCCCAGACGGCCTCCAGGCACCCCTCACGAGGTCCAGAGGGCCCCAGGGGCTCAAACATGGAGCGAAAAGCTGGGGGCACCTTGGGCCAGGGGCACTTCTAGCCGTGCTTGGGCCAGGGCCTGGGGCACCTTGGGCCTGGGGCACCTTGGGCCAGGGGCACCTTGGGCCAGGGGCACCGTGGGCCAGGGGCACCCGACTGCTCAGGATCTCCCCAGTTCCTTGCTGCCCCCCTCGGCCTTGGGCCCCGACCCTCTACAGGGCTGCCCCTGTGCCCCCCGGCCGGCGAGAGGCCGCCCTGCGCGCGCAGATCCAGGCGCAGGAGGACCGTTCCTGTCTTGCGCTGCTTCTGGCGCAGCTGCCCCCTTTCTCTCGCCACCCAGGGCTCGTTTCGATTCTCTCGATTCTTTCGATTCTTTGATGGCTTCCGATTCCGATTCGACTCGACTCGATTCGACTTCGATGGCTTCTGATTCCGATTCGATTCGACTTGGGATTCCAGTTTGGGCTCCGATGTCTCGTTGGAGGCACACTGGCCTGCCGATCTCCGCCGACCCGACGTCTCCCGACGTGGCCCCCGATTCCCGCCGATCCGATTCGCTTCGATCGCCGATTCGACCTCGATTCGATCCTGGACTCTCCTGCCCTCGCCACCCTTGAACGAAGGATTGCAAAAAAAACCGAAGGATTGCAAAAAACGCCCAGGATGGAATGCAAAACAACCCAGGGTTTTTTTGCAATCCTTCGGTTTTTTTGCAATCCTTCGTTTGGGTTTTTTCGCCACCCACCCGCACGACGCCCAACGCCCGGCTCACGCCACTCTCGCCGCCACCCGCACCCGAGCCTGCACTCGGCCATCGGCCCGCCGCCTACCTCCCAGGAGGCGAAAAAACACACACACAGACACAATGAATCGTCCACTCCCAGGAAAATATGGGAAACATGGGAAGTGGGGGGGAAGAGAAACACCCCGAAAATATGGGAAAATATGGGGGATATTTTTATTTGTGTGTATTTACTTGTGTGTCCCAGGGCCCCTTCAACCTCCCCTGCCCGCCCTCTCGAGCCCGCCCCCCTCCCGCTTCTCACCCTTCCACAGAAGAACTTATGTCGGGCATGCCCCTCCACGGGGAGGAATGCTTATCAGTAGTCAAAGCAAATCATATTGTTTTTGGTGTCACGGTGCCTTTCTTCTCGGATTTTTGAGATAAAGAGGACGTGCTTCCCCCCCCCAAACACAAACATCCGCCTGTAGGGGGACGTGCCCGACCTGAAGAAAAGCGGGGGAAACCCAAAAGGTACCCATGCCGCTGCTCCCCAGACCTCTCCCGGGGCGCGCTCCGACCAGGGTCCCGAGGCGAAGCCGGCGGTGGCGACGAGGGCCTCCCAGGAGGCCCCACCAGGGGCAAACGAGAGAAGGATAGGGAGGGAGGGAGGGAGGGATGGCGGGAGGGAGGGAGGGAGGGAGGGAGGGAAGGACAGCGGCATATCCAGTATAACGTTTTCGCCGTCGGGGGCCTCCGTCCCGGGGCGGCTGGAAAGTTGATACCCTTGCGGTGCCGCGTCAAGGCATGCGCTTTCCAGCCGCCCTGGGGCAGCGCCCCCGGCGACGGAAAAGTTTATCTGATACCGTTCTTCGCCCGCTCAGTATATGGGTATCTTTTCTTGCTTCCCCCCTTCCACCCAGCAGCCACAAAACTTTGGCTCTCTGCCCGCCCTCTGCGCCCTCCCACCAGCCCAGCCATCGCACCCTCTCGCGCAGCCGGGCCAGCGAGTGTATCACCGAGCGCGCTCCGCTGCTCGCAGAGTGCCTACTCGCAAACGTCTGAAACAAAAACATGTGTGCTTCGATTTAATGTTTTGGCTGATCCGTTCCTGGGGCGCCTGCTTGCTGTGCCACCGCTCGACGTTACGCGCTCGGTTGCAACGCCTGGGAGGTTAAGTTCAGTATCGGCGCTGGTATATCGGTGGTAGAAAACTACAGCTTAATGGTCACAATGCTGTTTAATTTCGATGTGTTGCAGTCCTGCCTGATCTGGCTCAATCCTGGGCCCCATCCAGCCAACTACAGCTTACCACACCCACCTCGTTCTTACGAAGACTTGCCAGAAGCTGTCTCCAACCGATGCCCCCCCTGTTCACCGGGCGCGTTCCACTACTCGCAAAGTGCCTACTCGCAAACGTCTGAAAAAGGCTTGTAAATCCCCCGCGGCGGATCCAGGACATTGCAAGCGGATCGCGCTTGTCTACCTGTGCTGCAGCGCTGTGGGAGTGGGGGGCGGAGAGGGAAAGGAGGGGGGAGGAGGAGGAGGAGGAGGAGGAGGAGGAGGAGGAGGAGGAGGAGGAGGAGGAGGAGGAGGAGGAGGAGGAGGATCAGGAGGGGAGAAAGCACACAGACACAATTAATCGTCGATCCCCCAGAAAATATGGGAACATATGGGAAGTGGGGCGGAAGACAAAAACCCAGAAAATATCGGAAAATATGGGGAATCTTTTTATTTGTGTGTATTTATTTGTGTGTCCCCAGGGCCCCTTCAGTGGAGGGAGGGAGGAGGATGAGGAGGAGGAGGAGGATGAGGCGAGGTTGGAGGACGGGGCGAGGTTGGAGGAGAGCAGGAGGAGGAGGAGGAGGAGGAGGCGGAGGAGGGACTAGGATGAGGAGGAGTGAGGTGGAGGAGGAGGAAAGAGAAAGAGAAAGAGGATAAAGGAGGAGGAAGAGGAGGCTCAGGAGCAGGAGCAGGAGGTTTAGGAGGAGGAGGAGGAGGGGAGGAGGAGGAGGAGGAGGGAGGTAGGAGGAGGAGGAGGAGAGGAGGGAGGAGGAGGAGCAGGAGCAGGAGCAGGAGCAGGAGCAGGAGGAGGAGGAGAAACTGACTTTTCGAGCAGTGGAACGCGCATGTCTGGTGGAGCACAAGCGGCGGCAGCGGCAGCGGCGCCCGTGGACGGCCGTCGGCGGCGCTCCCCGAGGGGAGGGCAGAGGGGGCGCGGGCCCTTTCGGAGGCTTCTCGGAGGGTCTTCCGGCCCTCTGAGAGAAGCTTCGGAGGCCCCCTTCGAGGCCGCGGAGGGCTTCTCGAACGCCTCGAACTCCTCGAACTCCTCGAACTCCTCGAGGTCCTCGAAGTCCTCGAACTCGAGCTCGGACTCTCCGAAGCCACAGAGGGCTTCCGAGAAGGCCGGAGGACTTGTAAGAAGCCCCGCCGCCCTCCGAGAAGGCCTCCTCTGGACGGGGTTAGGGCGAGGAAAGATCCGTTCCAGAGCGTTCCGGAACACTCACAGAGCGTTCCAGAACGCTCTGAGAAGGCCGCGGCGCCCGATACATTCCCTAGATCTGCCAGATGTCATAGGATCTCGATTCGTCCGTACACGTCCTAGCTTCGTCTTACTCCTCTCACTTCCCACGCGTCTGACGCTGTTCAGGGATCCGATGCTCCTCTCACCTTCTGCTGCCCCCATCGTGTTTGGGGACCACAGGGCCACGCCCCAAAAGCAAGTTCGATCACCCCGCCAAGCGTGGAAGCAGTGTCGAACGAGCATCGCCTCCCAGAGCCCGAGGTGAGCAAGGCGAGCGTGGAGGAGGAGGAGGAGGAGGAGGAGGATAGGAGGAGGAGGAGGAGGAGGGGGAGGCGGAGGATTTCCTCGGCCCCCCGCCGAAGCCCTGCCTCGCGCACGGTGGGGGCAGGCGGCGCCCCCTGACGGTGCGCGGCCCGTCTATAAAACACGAGCCTCGAGGACGTCCCTTCCCCCCCCTCCCCTCTTCCACCTCCTCCTCCTCCTCCCCTCCTCCTCCACCCTCCCTCCTCCTCCTCCTCCTCCTCCTCCTCCTCCTCCCTCTCCTCCTCCCACTCCTCCTCCTCCTCCTCCTCCTCTCGGGCTGTTTAGTCCAATCCGCACTGGCGCCGATTGTCTGTCGCAGCGAACCACGGCAGGAACCATGGGTGTCCTTGCCAGCCCACGCGTCCTTCAGGATGCATGGCCTTCTTGCTTGCTTGCTTGCGAGGACCTCTACCAGCAGCAGCGCGGGGTGGAGAGGCACCACAGCGACACCGAGGATCAAAGAAGAACAAAACGCCAGAAACAGGAACTCTTGGCGCTCCGCGCGGATCTCTTGGACCCGCGCTGGGCCCCCCCGGCGGCGCCTCCGGCGCCGCCCCTGGCGCGCTCCGCGCGCCGGGGAGGGGGTTCCAGCGCGCCGGCGCCGCCCCTGGCGCGCTCCGCGCGCCGGGGAGGGGGTTCCAGCGCGGATCCAAGAAACCCGCGCGGAGCGCCAAACGTTTATGCTTCTGGCGTTTTCTCTTCTTCTGGAGGAGCAGATCGCCCAGCAGAAGGGAGCAACAGGGGCGCGTCTTACCGAGGGCCAGGAGCAGCTGGTGCAGCAGAAGGCCCAGGCACAGCAGCTGCAGCACGATGCCATCATAAAGGAGGCCGAGGCGCTGAAGGAGAAGGAGCGCCTTCTCCAGGAGCTGCAGGCTCTGGAAGGCGAGATGCACATGAGGATGAGGCGCCCGCCCATGGTGTCGGTCGAGGAGGACGGGATTCAAAGTGCACGGGCTCCCCCGCCCCCTCCTCCCGGACCCTCCCCTTCGTCCCCCTTCTCCCCCCTCTCATTCCCGCCCGCTCCCCCCCCCTCCCCTCGAGTCGCCGCTCCTTGCCCTCCCCTCCCTCATCGTCCTCCTCCCCACGCCCCCTCCTCGCCCGACCTCCCCCCCCCCCCCTCCCCTCCGCTCCCCTCCTCCCTTGGAGCTCCGACGCCGCAGCTTCTCCGCTGCGTGGACGCCCGGAGGTCTCGGCCCCTTCCCCGGGACAGCTCCTTCCTCCTGGGGCCTTCCTCGGCGGCGCAGACCGCAGGCCTCCCCAGAGGTCGACCATAGCATCTCAGGAGGGAACAAAAACACAGACACAATTAATCGTCGATTCCCCAGAAGATATGGGAAAATATGGGAAGTGGGGGGGAAGACAAAAACCAAGAACATATGGGAAAATATGGGGAATCGTTTTATTTGTGTGTATTGATTGCGAAGGCCTTACGGCCTGTGCCGCCGACCCTGAATGGCGACGACGACGACGACGACGACGACGACGACGACGACGACGACGACGACGACGACGACGACGACGACGACGACGACGACGACGAGCGCTCTTGGGGGCCTCTTGGGGGTAGTTTGTGGGCCTCTTGGGAAGCTCTCAGGGGCCGCGAGGAAGCCTCGTGGGGGCCTCTTGGGGCTTCCTGGGGGTCTCTTGGAGGGGGCCTGGGACGTCTTGGAAGCTTCTTGGACGGTCTTGGGGCTATCGTGGGCGTTTTCGGCCGATCTTTGGGCGACTCGGGGCCCTCTTGGGCCGTCTCGGGTGCCATCTTGGGCATTCGGACCTCATTTGGAGTGTTTTCGAGGTTTCTAGGCCGCCCGAGGGAAAACGAATCTGCCCCCCCACCCACCCCGGGACCCCCCCCGGGACCCCCCCCCCACCCCCCCTGGGACCCCCCCCCCCTGGGGAAGGGATCGAAGGGAAGGGGCTTCCCTTCGATTCGATTACGACACTGCTAGATTTTTCTCTCGCTCACGAGCTTGAGAAGGAAGCTGCAGGGAAAGGGGACGACGGAGGCGACGACCGATGGAGACGACGACTCGAACAGCCAAGCCACTCGCACACGACGACAGGGTCGGCGG